AGTCTGTCTTCAGAAGGTCCCTGGGGGTGGCTAAGGAGAACTCCTACTCGGCAATAATCTATGTTCTGTGCTTCCCAGAAATGGCCCAGAAACATTGGCCTTTGATAAGAGAGCAGTGCAAGGCAGGCTGGCACCTCCAGAGAGGAAAGCGCTGCAGTTGGCACTTCTGAGACAGGTAGATGACACGCAGACACGTGGGGCCTGGCCAGGGCTGCGCTGCGAGAGGCACTAATGGCAACTCAGCAACCGCCTGCTCCTCTAAACATGCAGGGTACGGGAGTGCTGGGGGCTTCAACTGGGAGACGGGGCTTCTCCCAGACAATCTCTGAAGCACCCAGACCAGAGCTGAGGCTGACATGACACAAGCTGCTTCATCTCCCCAACCCTGAGTTTCTGTATCTGCCTTGAGAAGTATTTCTTAAATCTTCCCTCACACCTTGCCCCCAATCCTCACTCTCCCAGCTGAGGCCCTCTTTCTATCCTGTCTGACTAGTGACAGGTCTCCTCCTCACCCGTGGAGCAGCCACCAGCGAGCCTTTCTTGCATGCAGATGTGACAGGTTGAGCCTCTGCTCTACACGCGAGCCACCTGAGCCTGCCACCTCAGGCCTTTCACACGCAGGCCCTGCCCTTCCCAACCCCCTGCAAGCTTTTATTCCACCAACAGGAACTGGTTTTGGTTTCTCACATACAAAAATTTATTTCTTGCCTCTGTACCTCTCTTCATGCTGTTCTCTGCCTGGACTGCCACTCTTGTTCCATGTGACAACACCTGCTCCTCCTTCCAGACTCAGTTCAGGTATCACTTTGTTCAAGACACCCGTCCCACTCCTACCTCAGTGCCCCCATGACACCCTATGCATGTTCCAGCGCATACCACACACCCGTCTCCACAATGGCATGACAGTTCCTGGCACCAACTGGTCCCTCTACCAAGGTCTGTTAAGTGAATACATTTGTCTGTGTGGGTCAGAAAGGATGAAGTATTAAAAAAAAAAAAAAAACCACAAATAGGAGGCATGATTATAAATGGTCTGGGCTCCGAAGTGGGCGGTGCAGGGCTGCACTGTCAGCCCCTGGGGCGGGGAGCAGTCGGACAGGGCAGCCGCCCCAGCGCTCACTTACACTGATCAAAAACGGCTTT